TTTTTTTTTTTTCAACATGTCGTAATTCAGATTCTTAAACGTCTGTCACTGCACAATGTTCTATAAATGGCCAACGGTAGACTTGAACCTAGATCTTTTGCATGGCTCTTTGAGCACAGATCTGAGCTGATGGTTAAATGATGATTATGAGATGACATTAATTACTCAGTTTTACAGTGATATATATGTTGAAATTTATCTTCACTGAAGATTATATTTGCAATATTGTTAAAACAGCTTTATGAGAATATTTCATGATCTATGACTTTTACAGTCAAATTTGATATGAGATTTTATACTGTTGAACTGTTAAGTGATATGAATTCAATTCCAAGTTAATCATCTCATCTCAAAGCTTAGGTTAGTTTTATTTACTTAAACGTTTTCTTCAGTGCCCAGGCTTGTTGGTTAAGTTTTGTGGATGTTAGTTGGTATATTGTTCTCTTTCGGCTACTTTCACTCCTGATATCTTTTCCAAATGAAATTGCAGGAAGCTGCAGACAGTAAGATCCATCCTCGACCCACATCTAGTAGGTGAGAGATTGCTTTTCCTTGTTCCACGAGGAAAAATACGTTCTTCGTCATAATATTGATGGCACACAATCTTGGAGTATATATACCAGTGGGAAAGTTGCGCATATGAAAAGAACCAGCTTCTACACCAGCAGCAAGATTGGCTAATGAGATGCAGGATTTTGGCAGTAGCTGTAACAGAAATTCATATTAATCTTGTGGAGGAGATGAAAGGAGTTGCAGAGTTGTTCAAATAATTTAGAACTTGTATATACAAAAGGTTCATATATTTATGTACGAGCGGACGGATAGTTTTCCACCTTATCGAATGGATATTCTTTTGTGTTGTATGTGTCGAATATTTCTATTTATTGTCTCGAAGACGAAGTTTTGTAAGTGGTACAATGTATATCCTCCATGTATCATGTACTATTTCTACCTTGATCATAATTATTTTGTTACCCGTACTATGGAAAGAAGCAATACTCATTGCCTTCATTAATATCTTGGAAGGAAGAAACAGGAGAAACCATCATGCCAGCAAAAGAATAACTCATTTTCATGAATTGATGATACATTTGAAAAGAATTTCTTACAGAAAAATTAAATAACCAAGGCATTTATAGTGTCAATTGTATCCATTTTGTCCGTGTACAGGAATTAGCTTACTTCTGATGCAACTGCGCCAGTTTTAGTCCATTTGTTGATTCGAGACCCAAGAATTGTGTTTGGTTATTCACTATCCGAGTCACTCGAACTGCTCTTCGAATGGTCCGACATGAAATTAGCCGGCAATTTTGGGAACCTAAATATCCTTGGCGATTCTGGGTTCGATGATGATCCAGCAGAAGATGGTGCAGGTTTTCTCTTCTGAACATTTCTTGCAATATCAACACAGACTTGATCAACCATTCCTAGGAAATCTCGAACAATGACAAATAATTGAAGTGGATTTGTCCCTCTGTCTTTTGAGGACCCTGTCTGATAATAATCTGTTGTTTTCTTCACTAGTTCCATCACTCTTTTTTGATCTCTCTTCACTGCTTTTATTTCTTCTTCAGCCCTCTCTACAAATAATTTCATTTCCCTTGCAAATCCTGTGTGATGATCACATTGCGCCAGTATTTTTCGAATTTCGATCAGTTGCGACGATAACCCTAAGCTCGTTTTAACGATGGAATCGTAGTCCATTCTGGCTGCTTTCTTGACATTTGAGAACTCGGCGCTTAGACCTCCTATCATAGGCAATCCAAGCATCACGTATTCCTTTTCTCTATCAGTATGTGGAACCAAATTATCAGAACTTTCGTTTCCAGGATTAGTGTTTTGGCTATTTGTTCGACTCACGCTGCGATTTCTGCTAAGCACGCACCGTTTTCCCTCAGCTCGGACTACTTCTTGGACGACGAATTGAAGCAAAGTTGTTGTTCCATCGCTGCTTTTGACATCGGATAGTTTTCTAAGAGCTGTAAGGTTGAATGCTTGTGCATTTCCTCTTGACGTCCCTGCATTCAAGCGATTCCCTGCCTTGAGAACTGCTTCCAGAAGTTTCAAGAAGAGCCCTCGACTTCTAAGCTCGTTGCAAGCTGATTCAATTGATCTCAATGATTCTTTGAGGGTCAAAATCTCTGTGGAATAGTTTGATCTGAAAAGCATGGCGTTGAAATGAGTAAAAGCAGATGGAAAAGCTTTGAGGAGGTGGTAGAGGAAGGATTCTGCATCAGCAAGTCTTGTAGGATCTCCATCAAAACCGAGGATTTCAGAAGTTTCTTCATCCGTTGGAGAGATTTTCGTGAGCTTTTCAAGTGTATCTGCATTTAGGCCATCTCCCTTAACAAGGGCATCGGCGATTTCTCCGTGCGAAACGCCAAGTGATTTAAGTACAATTGCGGTGTTTTGGGATTTTCTGGTGTCAAGAATGAAAATCCGGGAGGCTGGAGCGGATCTATCCCCTCTCGGGCTTGTTGAATTAATGTCTTGTCGAGGAGATTTTCGGTTGGTGGCTACATATCCAAAGAGAGCTTCCATGAGATCACCATCAAACCTGAATTCAAATAAGAAGAAAATTTATGAGAAGAATTAGATAAAGAGAGAGAATTTTTGACAAAAAAAGTAGTTGAGGATCATTACTTGAAAGAGCCTTGATCAATTTTGTCCCACACCATGGAATGCTCAACATTTGGATTCACCTTATCCCAGTGCAAGGGCTTCAGTTTCACCTTTTCATCCTCATTGCTCGACGTGCCTTCTCCCAACAAGGATGAACGCTGATTGCCACTAGGCGTTCCCTTTGGTGCCGGGGGTTTCAATGATGAAACCGCTCCACTTGCCTGTGGTGGTGGTGGTGGAGGAGGAGAAGGATGTAAATTTGATGGAACCGGAGGAGGTGGTGGTGGTGAAGAAGGACGTATATTTGATGGAATCGAAGGAGGTGGTGGTGATGGAGAAGGAAGTTTATTTGATGGAACCGAAGGAGGAGGAGGTGGTAGTGCAGCCAATTCTGCCTTCTGAACTGCCTCAATATTCGTTGGGGGTGGCCGTGGTGCTGGCGGTGCTGAATGTTTCACAACTTGACTTAAAGAATTTTGCTTTTCCACAGCAATTCCAGATGAAAGTGTAGGTACTCTCTTCATTCTTGAGTCCTCCTTATCTATCCAAACAGCACTCTGAGAGGTTGAAGATTTTCCTCTGAGCAAAGGAGTTTCTTGAATTGGTGATTCATTTTTCTTCGTTCTATCATCTCCACTGATGATTCTTTTTTCTTCTTTATTTTCTTGATCATATTTCAAGTTCTGATAGGCTTGTTTCTTGAAACTTCTTTTCTTTTCTCCCCCTTCTAAATTTCTCCAATAAAGCATATCCAATCCATTCTCGTCAACAATCACCCCCTTTACATTACCATCAAACCGCGTAAAATCATTTTGAGGACGAGGCACCACAGGATTCTCAGCATAGGGATTGACTTCAGTTCTCCCCCTTTTTCGACGTGAGCGCCTTAGGAGTAAGAAGAAAAGCAGCCCGGATAAAACAAGAGTGCTAGCAGCGGTGGCAGCCACTGCTTTTGCAACTGCCTTTTTCGACGATGATTTTCCTGGCGGGGCAGCTGGTTGCGATGGAACTGGATTTGGTATTGTTGGAGGACTAATAGGCTGTTCATCAGCCGGACGAGGAGATGGAGGAGGAGGAGAATATGGATATCGAGTTTCGATGTTTTGAGAAGGACTGGATTGACAAGTGGATTGAGGAATGGAAGAAATGATGAATAGAAAGAATAGATAAAGAATCGCAGATGGCTGGAATTTTGCAGCCATGATATTTAGGTAAGAACTGAGGAGAACTTGATGTTGAATGAATTTTTGAATGTATTCTTATCATTTCTTGATGCACTTCTTGATTATGCTATTTTGGATTTGGTCTAGTTGCTGAAAGTTTCTATGGAGAGCAGTTGGCTTTCTGTTGGATAATTTGGAATATTTAAACCCTCCCGGTTATAGAACGTAAAATGACCAAAATACCCTCAAGACAATTCAATTATAATTGTGATAATCATCCTCAACGCATAGCTTAATTGATTTTTAATTGTTTAAATACTGTTAGGGATGTTCCATGATTCCGAGTCGAAAATGTGGAATTGGTCTACAGTGCGTCTTGTTTATTTATACAATCTTAGCTGTAATCGCCTCTACTATTATAATCTAAACATGTGATTATATTAATTACTGGATGTTGTAATGAAAATAATGTCTTGCAAGTAAGAGTAAAAGAAAGAATGCATACAAAACAAAAAGGAATCATATTTCAGCAATGTTAGGTTATTTGCCATGGAAATGTTCATTGTATTGATGTATTCTACAGGGAACAAGTCAATTCTTTGTTTGATTATGCAGTTAATTCCCCACAAAACAAAAAATATTAGAAGGGGTTAGGACCCAACTGAGAGGCATCTGCTTTTGGTAGAAGAGAAAGTTACATTATATCTGCTTCATATAAAAGCTCTCTTAACATGATGAAATATTTTAAGAAAATTATTCAAACGTGTTTAAGAGTAACTTTTTAATTTTAGAAATAACTTTTGACTTTTCAAAAATTCTACCAAACGAATCCTTAAAAAGGAAAGGCATAACTGTCTTGTAATCATTTGTAAAGAAAAAAGAGAATTAATATGCTCACCAAATATTTTGACGATCTATGAGTAAAAGCAAAGTATTTTATTTGCATTGTGAATGATGACTTAAATAGTGTACATCTTTGTTAACATTCCATTGTATTTCAAAAAAGTGTTCCAATTATGTATCGCTACGTTGCACTGCATCAGAAATGATGTAAACATGAAATGATTGCAATATGATGTAATTTTAAGGTCTCGTTTGGGAGCGATTTTGAAAATTGATTTTTTTGACTATTAGGAGAAAAGTGGGGGCTACCTGTGAGAGAAGAAGTCAAACTTTACGGTTAGAATAGTGAAATAACGGTCAAAAAATCAATTTTTGGAATGAAAAATCACTTCCAAACACCCCCTAAAATAATATATTTAGAAAGGAGTTGTTGCGATTGAAAATTTTATTTTATGAGTAATGTGCAGAAAAATAATTCATTTAGCCAATACTAAATTATCAAAATAAAACTTAATTTGTCATATAAAATGTGATAGAATGAAAATGAAAGTAATAATGTCCAAACAAAATAATGAATTAAGTCTTGTCTTCAATAAATTTGAAGTCAACTATACACGAATTATTTTTTATTATTTCTTTCACTTCGTTTGTTAGTTACATCGAAAGATACAATGAAAATAGATCTTAACAACTATGAAGTATAGAAAATAAATTAACTTGGAAGCAATTCTAAATTATTTGTTTTTAAAAGTTATAACGTTTTGCTTGGTACAACTTATTTGAAATTATTTTTTCTTATAAATTTATTTTCAACCAAACATTCACCCAATAAAATAACTAAAAAATATTTTCCGCTTCATGTAATTTTTTCCAGACAAAGACAGAGAATTAGATTTATGTCGGTCTGATGGTAGTTGAAATGTCTATCTGTTAATGACTTAATAATTTTTCCAATATAACTTAGGAAATGTGAACAATACAAAGTGGTTGGAAAGAGAAATGTGTAGATTTGGTAAAGAAATTCATAGTGCTCCTTAGAAGCTTTAAAAGTCAAACCCAAAAATAATTATTCTTATTTTTCAATTTGGTAATTATTTATTGATTGGGATTTTTCTGACTTTTTCTTGCAAAGTGTCAAACTTGCATTGATGTTGATAACTTTAAGAATTGACTTTTTCATTGGAAGCATTAGCGCCTCTGTTTGTGCATAACAACATTGATGTGATCAATCATAAAGTTGCTTATGAGTTTGATAATGTTTCTTAAGAAGGCAATAGAAAAAAGTTGGTACTACAATCGACTTATGTTAATCACTAATCTTCTCGTACAAGTATTTATAGACAAAACATTGCGGAGAAATTGATGGTCTGTGCAGTAGTGATTATGATAATTGATTTTTTGATCGTTAGAGAGAAAAATGAATCCCACATATGAGTAAATAAGTAAAAAATGACGACTATAATAATGAAATAACGATTAAAAAATCAATTTTTTCTTGTTAAAAATTGTTACCAAATGGGGCTGAATTCAAGGTTCAGGATTAAGTTGATCTAATGGTCAGTTTTGAACATGACTGAATCCTGCAGGTTGCTATTTACTTTAGGCAATGATTAGGTTCCTCTCATCTTAAAATAGTCCTTGATGAACCCTAAACCAGTAACTAACTTTCCCACAGATTTTAGCCTTCGAAAAGAGCGGTTTAGGGCTAGGAAGATTCTGGAATTTTTGCAAAAAGCTTTGGCCACGTTTTTCAGCTTTCGTCCCCTGCCGAAAGCGATTCCGTCCCACCGAAGCGCCTTATCTGCACTAATTTTTTCCCATCGTGACTTGGGATGTAAGTCCCCATATCCAAGTCCATTAGATTGTCCCCGTTTGGCCCCCATTAAATATCATCAAATTAATTAAAAATATCAAATTAATATTAAACGTAAATTGAAAATTTTTCATTCTTTTACAATCAT